CACGGCCACTGCAGCCTCAACCTGCTGGACTCAGGCAATTCTTCCACCTCAGCCTTCCAAGTAGCTGGAACTACAGGCACGAGCCACCACGTCCGGCTAATTTTTAATTTATTGTAGAGATGAGGTCTTGCCAAGTTGCCCAGGATGGTCTTGAATCCACAGGGTCAGGCAATCCTCTCACCTCGGCCTCCCAAAGTGCGGGGATTATAGGCGTGAGCCACTGCGCCTGGGCCCATTGTGTTTATCTATTCACAGACATCTGAGTTGTTCCCACTTTTCAGCTAGGTGAATGGTGCTGTTATGAACATTAGCATACAAGTATCCGCTTGTGTTCCTGTCTTCAAGTCTTTTGGGCACATATCTTGAAGCTGAATTACTGGGTTATATGGCAACTCTATGTATAGTTAAGCAGCTAATATTTTCACAGCTTAAATCCAGCATTTTTTCAATTTGACCAAAGAATGCAGCAACCTCTTTCAAGCTTGAATTTTTTTTTTTCTACATTAGAATTAGCAGGGATGTTTGCTATCTCAAGCAGAGACATACATGAAAATCAGGCCTAAAAGCCCCCCTTTAGGCTGGGCACAGTGGCTCATGCCTATAATCCCAGCACTTTGGGAGGCCAAGGTAAGAGGATTGCCTGAGCCCATGGGTTAGAGATCAGCCCCAGCAACTTGGCAAGACCTCATCTCTACAATAAATAAATAATTAGCCGGGCATGGTGGCACACACCTGTAATTCCAACTACCTGGAAGGCTGAGGCAAAAAGATCACCCAGCAGGTCAAGGCTGTGGTGACCATGAGCGTGCCACTGCACTCCAGCCTGGGCAACAGAATGAGACTCCACCTCCAAAAAAAGGAGAAGGCCCACTTTATTCCAAACAGATATATCTCCACTTCCAGGCGACATTTTCGAGTTGCACTTTGGTGCTTTGATAGACTAGACAGCCTGCTCACCCTTCCCAACAGAATCAACTCCATGACACCTTAACCCAAGAGAACCATCTTCACAAACATATCACTGAGCTGGAGTGATAGTAGGAATCATCAGAGGTGGAGACTGCAGAAGTAAATTATCCTGAAAAACTGGCACACAACAAAGTACTTGCTCTGTGAGTTTCTGAGGAACTCTAACGATCTTACCCTTCTGTTTTGCTGGCAGAGACATGGGAGATGGGAAAGTAAGCCCAGGGCCCAGCTGAGATGGATAGTCTAGCAGGTGACCTTTGTACAACACAGAAATGCCAGAAGTTCTTCTTTCAGAGTAACAAGGGATGAAAAATCAACCTGCTGCCCAGGTGGGACTAGGAAGGATGCTTGCCTGTCTCAAACTCGATGTTGAGAGGAGGGGATGGCTCTCTCTTGAGAGCTCAAAACCACATCTTGGCTCTCTTGAGAGTTGCTCGTTCAAATTCCTATTAGTGTGTGATGAAAACCTCATGTGGAGAGAGAGCTTAATTTAAGGTGACACTTTGGGATAGTACTCCAAGGTAGGCGGCCACAACAAATGCAAATCATCTTGGAAGGATTATAATGATAACATTCTTTTCTCTTTTTGAGTTGGGGTCTCAATCTGTTGCCCAGGTTGAAGTGCAGTGATGTGACCATAATTCACTACAGTCTCAACTTTCTGGGTTCAAGAGCTCCTCCCGCCTCAGCCTCAGAGTAGCTAGCACTACAGGTGAACATCACCATGCCTGGCCTATAATGATAAAATTCTAAGGAAAATGAGGAAGTCACAAAAGTCACAAAATTCCCAAGGAAATAAGCCACCAAAAGTAAGAGCTACCAGAAACTACCATAACCAAATCTTAGCAGCAAAGAATGAGACTCTGGAATTAACTGAAAGGGAACATAAAGTGAT